TAGTTATTTGATAAAAAATTTATTATAAAACATAAATTTAGAAAAATAAAATTTATTAAACAATATTGAAAAAAAGTTGTAAAACATAACTTTATAACACATAAATTTTTGGAAAAAATATATAGTAGTGAATTCGACTTAAAGGGATAGCTTTACCAACAAGACGAGTGTATGTAGGGTTGTAAACGAACCGAACGAATCGAACGAACACGAACGGAGGCTTGTTCATGTTCGTTCGTTTTACTTAACCGAACAAACGAACGAACACGAACGGTAAACGAACGAAAATCTTTGTGTTCGTTTTCGATCGTTTAGAAATAAGGTGTGTTCGTGTTCATTTATGTTCATTCGTTAACATGCTAAACGAACGAACATAAACGAACGGACTAAATGAACATAAACGAACATAAACGAACGGGCTAAACGAACATAAACGAACATAAATAAATATTATTTGAATTCAAAGTAAATAAATAAAAGATTATATATTAAATTTTAATATATAAACGAACGTAAACGAACGGTAAATGAACGAACGTTCACAAACATAAATGAACGAACAAGACTCTTGTTCATGTTCGTTCGTTTAACTAAACAAACAAAAAAAATTGTTCATGTTTATTCATTTATTAAATAAACGAAATTCCCGTCGAACGCGAAACGGTTTGCTAAACGTTCAATTCGTTTACGGTCCTAAATGTATGTAACCTCACCCGGACTGAAATTGTAATTTACGTTTTTTTTAAGGCCTCAAGTACACAACACGGCGGTGAGGATGTTCCACTATTAGAAAACAGACAGAAAGCTCCTCCCCTGTTCGGTCTGAGACCTACACACTCGACTCGCAGGCCGCAGCAGACGCACGTCGTACGGTTCTCCGGCGGTCCGGCCGGTCACTCTCACTCTCTCACACTCACTCAATCACTCTCTCAATCTCTCGTTCAGGTTTTCTCCCAAAACCTAACTCAAACTTAAAATTTTGCCCTAAATTTGTTCTTGATGATTTTACCGTAAACTTATAATGTTATACAATCATATAATATTTTTGCATGATGAGTTTGATTTGTTTAATTGTTTACATGATTTATCTATTTGCGGTATATTTGATATTAGTCTAATAGTCTTTGCCATGAATAATTATGTTCTTATTATCTTATTAATTTGTTCATTTTATATGATGTTTTGATAAGCATTGATAAGTTCATATCATCATATGGACGGACTTTAAAAAGAAAAGCTCCATCGGAATCGGGTGCAATTGCCCCAAGTGGAAATGTTTCTACCTATGCTTTGACTGCAGGCGCGACAAGTGCCCCCACTACAAGTGCTTCTATTCATACACCAAGAACAATAGATGTGGATAATGTTCCTTAATATCTATCTGAGCGACCAATATTTTTGACATACACTTTAATCAAAGAGATAAATAGGATAAGACAACTATACTGGCTTAGAGGACCTTGTCAACCACGTGGTCATGTCTTTCCAAATAAAAAAATAGGGTCTAAACTAAGATGTTTTGTTCCTGCGTGGTTTGATGAGTTTCGTTAGGTAGAATCTTGGTTCTAAATAACTCGTTTTGGCGTGTTATGGCGTCAAGGCTTGGGTTCGCCGCCATGTTTACCCCTATGGCTCCACTCTAAGGCTTGGCTTGGATTGTAACGCGCTATGGCGCGTTTGACACGTTATGGCACGTTACGACGCTTTATTTTGTAAGGTGTAGGTTTATTTTTATGTATAACTTGGGGGATAAATGATAATTATATACGGGACCTAGGACTTAAATAAATATAAAACGGGAACTTGTAAGGTGTGCCTTGAAGAACGCGTGGCTTCACCATAACTCGTAAGGCTTGAGGCTTGACCTTGCCACCACACCATGCCTCGCGTCATTTAGAACCTTGGGTACAATATAGCGTGAAAATGGACAAAGCCTATTGTTTGTGTTGTTACTTGTTTAGGGACGACAACTCACAATTTGGCAGTGATCATTTGTGACAAAAGGGTTCAATAATTGGGCTAAAAAGGAAAGGTTATCGTTGCACATTGGTGAAAGTAACAGTTTTCCACAACCGAGCACAAAAAAATGTGAAGCTTTGGTTCAAGTTCAACAAAAGCAATCTATTGCCGTTGCCTTCCACAAGCAAACTGAAAGAGAGAAAAATGAATACGTAATGATGAAATGAAATTCATCATTGATTATTTTCATCCTGTTCTTGCTTCTCATGGAATTGTTCATAAAAGTAATGGGACCAAACACCACAACGAAAGGTGGTTAGAGAGAAAACTCTTAGAAGTTGCTAGAATATTGAGGTTGTAAGTAGAATTTCCCAATAACTTCTAGGGTTATTGCATCCTATGTGCTGTTCATGTCATAATAGGCTCTTACCCACTGTCATTCATCAAAGAACTCTATAAGTTTCTATTTTAGATCCCTCCTTTCAAATGATCCTTTGAGAATACAATATCATTATAATATCAATACTAAAGCTGATATTTTTGTCTTATGTGCTACCCACAAAGACAAAAGGGATATATCCTCCATAACCTTAAAAGTTAAAAGGAAAAAAGTCACTTTGTTTACAAATGTTGATTTTCATGACCATATTTCCTCATCATCAACCATCTTCTTCTCTGGACATTATATTACAACACCATCAATTTTCATAACCAATATCTTCACCATTCGAATCTATTCCTAATTCTGAACATGTACAAATAACCCATCACTTGATGCATCATCTCCATCTACTTCAACCACAATTAATCCATCACCCAACGTACCTACCATTTCAATTACTTCTATACTCACCACTTCTTCTATTCCTACCCAACCATCTTGAAAATCCACTATAGGTCGTCAATATATAAAGATGGAAATTTTACCTATACGGGTGGGTACCCGACCCTAACAAGGTGGGGATTCCCCTCTTTGGCGGGTAACATGGGGGGAGGGACGGGTGTTTGTTTTCATGCCCGAAGCAGGGTGGAGGTCGGGGATGACACTACCCACCCTAATCGAACCCTGATTAAATTTTAAATTTTAAATTTTGTTAAATATATGTACATATGTGTGTGTGTATATATGATCTTCTATATTGGTAGTTAATGTAGTCAAGATTCCTTTTAATTTTTACTTTAATATACGTTAATTTTTTTACTCAAAGGGTACCCAACAGGTTCCCCGAACCCACGGGGGATTCCTTCCCCCCGAACCCGTCGACGGTTTGTCGGGGGCTTAAACAGGGATTGTGTCAAGGACCGGGGGGGGGGGGGTTCATTACCCACCGAATATCCGCCCCATTTCCATCCCTAGTCACCTCATAAATACCATAGCTTTGTCCTGCATGGGTAACTATCAACTCTTGATTTCGTTCAAACAAACCCTTCCAAACATTCTTTCCTTTGCCAAACTCTCCCCTGCTAACAACATATTCCCTAATAGCATATGTTGATAATTTTAATCGCCTTGTTATAATGAGGCTATTAAGATAGCAAATCAAATTAGGCTACAAATAATGAGACTATGGCACTTGAAGCCAACAATATTTGGTAGCTTGTTCTTCTTCCTCAGGCAAGAAGACAATTATCGGATGTAAGTGGGTCTATAACTTAAGTCCAAGGCTACTAGTACTTTGGAAAGGCACAAAGCTAGAGTTATGGCACAACTGCACAAGGTTTCACACAAGAAGGCATTGATTTTACATGAACTTTTGCTCTTCTGCCAAGATGACCCAACAATTAGATTATTGCTCTCATTAGCAACTGTAAACAATTGCTTTGCTCATCAACAAGATGTTAACAGTGCCATTCTACATGGAGACTTGACTAAGGGTGTATATGTCAGTCCCTCAAGGATAAAAAAATTGGTGCAGAATTTGTTTGCAGACTTAATGTGTAACTCCCCAAAACTCTAAGCAATAGGCTCGCTCAATAATTTCGAATCCAACTTAAAACCATGGTGGAAGTTATTGATCAACCACAACTTGGGGCTTATAAGGAGCTTATGAATCCCATTTTCTATCAATGTGTGACGAGTTGTTACATAATGAGTCCTTCAACGACCTCAAACAAGGCTCAATATTTTCTTTCACTAAGTTGACGAATGCATATTGACCCAAGGTTGCTCTCAGTCCATTGATGATTATTGACTCTAATTTTACAGTTGCACTTGTCTATGTCCATGATATTATAGTAGCTGAAAATAATATTTCTATCATCCAAAGGTTGAAGCAATTCCTTGATGAAAAATTTAGTATCTAGGAGACTAGGACATGGTTTTCAAAAGCGGGTGAGGTGTAGGCCTCAAGGCTCGCCTCAAAGCGAGGTGGCCCAAAGCCGTATTTGAGGCGTTGCCTCTGAATGACTGGCTGATTCGCACGCTTGCAAGTGTGAGGTGGAGGTGAAACGGTGAGGCGGTGAGTCTATTGAGAGGCATGCTCTGTTATTTGAGTGTGCCTTTTTATTTAAAGAATTGTAGAAAAGTCAAACACTAGACTTTGGTAAAAAAAGAATGGCTGGTTGTTCTTTCTCTCAACTGTGATTCACCTCTTAGTAACAATTTAAAACCTTCTTTCTTTTCCCTCTCTCACACTAGGCACACACACACACATATATATATATATATACTATGTATACACACACACGCATATACATACATACATACATACATATATATATATATATATATATATATATATATATATATATAAGCCTGCTGCAATCAAGCCCTGAGTATATTATATATATTTATATAAATTCTGTATTTTTTTAGCATATATATATTGTGTATATTCTTTTTCTATGTAGTATATATATTGTGTATATTTTTTCTCTTTGTTAGCAATACATTTATATATATTGTGTATGTATATTTTATATATTTTCTTTGTTGGTGTATGTACTTTTTGTATGTATATTGTGTAAATTTGTCCACTATATAATGTGTCAAGCATATTTCTATTTAGTATATTCTATGATTTTTGGTTAGTATGTTTACGCCTCAAGGCTTACGCCTCGGGCTGCCTCGAGGCTTACTCCTCGCCTCGCTGAAGGAAAACGCCTCGCCTCACGTTACCGTATTTTAAAATCTTGTCTAGGACTATAAGGTGGGTCAAATATTAGTTGAGACTCAAAATTTTAGGTTTTCACAGGGATTTTATGTCAACCAGAAAAAGCATGCTCAAGAGATGATTGAAGAAGCTGATTTGACAGGTGGCAAATCTCTCAGCATACCAAGAGCTTCTATAGTCGGATTAGATAGCACATTAAGAGCCCTTAAAGATGGTCAACAAACTACTAGTTGAAAGACTAGAAAGCAGGGGTGCTTCTAATTTTTGTCGAATCCCAGGATTGGGCTTCACTGGAGCGGCAGGGCACAAATTCCCAAATTCTTGACTATGAATTCAAGGGAATACTCAATTTGGGGATACAAAGGGGGCATTTTGGTCAAATTTTATTGAAAAGGAGATTTGAAATCTAAAAACGTAAAGTAAAATTGAAATCTTGCAGCCACAAGTGCAAAAAAATACACGATGACATTTTTTTTTCCAGATAGTTTGGGCTAATACAACTAAAACAAAATAACAGAACTACAACAAAAGAGAATAGTTATTATTTTGTTAGGTGATGCTTCTCAAGGTTTTTATGTAAAAGAGGTCATAATTTTTTCTCATCGAGTCCTGTATTTATTAAACTGCCTGTAAGCATTAATCTGTCTGGATAATTAAGATAAAATTGTTGTTTGTTTTTTTGTTGTGAATAAATAATGTGAAACAAAAATTACTATTTTAATCTTCTTTGGACATAAGTATTGAATGAGAATTGCGTACGAAGACCCCTGGTTCTGGAAAGCACATGAGTCTAAGCTTATCACTGTATATGAACTCATCCTTATTGACTAAATGTTTGTAAACCATGTCAAACCAAGACCGATCAATATCCATTTTTTATTACTGAGGGCAAGCAGCTTTCATTTTATTAAATCAAGACACGGCTTGCGCGGGTCTGCTTTTGTTTGATAAATCTTCTAATTGACTAAAATAAAATTGTATGAATTATATAAAATAACATAAATTCAACGAATTCATTACACTGCACATACTTGATAACTTAAAATATATATAAAACAATTAAGCATCTTTTTTTGATTACAATATTTAGTTTATGCATGTGTGGGTAGACTACTTATTTTTCGATGAGATGTGGGATTAAAAATTGTGGGACAAGGATACTTTGGGAAAAAGATCCTAGCTTAATGCATTAAGATAGGGTGGACTTGCTTACCATGTTAAACCCATCTCTTAATATTTAATTTAAAAGTTAACATTTTAGTATAACTTAATCAATTAAGCTAACCCATTAAGCTTATTTAGTTAAAATAAAACACCCCTTTAATCCTTGTTTCTTCTTAGAAGAGTTGATGGACATTAGGACCAAGAAGGCTTGTTTTTAATCATTTGGAGCATGGATTTATGAAATGTTTTTGTCAAGGTTAGACCAGGTGTGTGTAGTCTTTCCCATCTTGGCCACGTTTTCGTGTACTATCTTCCGTATGTATGCTTTCTTTCTTGTCCGTTTAGATTTTTGGTTGCCTACCTCTAACTAGTGTTTAAATTTGCAGCACTATCTTTCTTGTTTTCTAGCTCTTTCCCGAATGCTCTCTTATGTTCTGTCTCCGCTTTTTTCCCCACACTATGCACAAGCTGTGGGTCTTCTCGCAAACAGTCGCTCTATTCTTTGGGTGGAGGTCAGGTCTGCGTACATCCCCCTTCCCCCCGCAACACCTTCGGGTGGGATATACTGGGCTTGTTTGGTTTGGTAAAAACATGATCATGATGGTCATCATCAATACTCTAATAAGGTCAAACCTTTGATTATGGCCCATGAAGAGTAGATATTGATAGATTATGGGTTAATGGATCAGGAGGCTGCATGCTATGTTGAGAATTTTATGGTCCATCTTAGACCAGATTTCACGACTAAAAATCATCATCTGTCTTGTGTCAATATACTTTTTCTTCTCATCCCCTCTTTCTGCAAATCATTGTTATTCTTAATTTTTTTTTCTTTCTATTGAAGGGTTTGAAGGAGAAGTGAGCTAAATCAAGATAGTGCTCTATTAACATCTGCAAAATGCTGGGTGGACCTGGACTTGAATCAGTTGTTGACCGTAAGTACATCTTATCATGTTCATTTTCTTTTTGCTCTACTTTGTAACTTCTCATTCACAAGATGCATTTGACATTAACAACTAGTTCTTGTGAATAACAAACAGTTTTCTATTGACTTATATTCTTGCTCTCTCTATCTTACTGTTTATCTCTTTTACAGAAATCATATCCGTTATTACAAATGATGGTCGTAACATAGTGGTGAGCTCTGTATTTTGGATCACTATATTACATTTATGTTCACACTTCTAAATTGCTTTGGTAATAATAATTGTTTTGCATTCAGGGAGTTTTGAAAGGGTTCGATCAAGCTACGAATATAATTCTTGATGAATCTCATGAAAGAGTTTATTCCACCAAGGTTGGTTTTTATTTCTATAATGAAAATCGAATATATTATTCCTCATTGTTTCTCGGAATAAAATGCTTCCAATCGATTTGCTTATTATGGATGTTAAGCTTTCACTTTTTTTTTGGAGTGGCCCTAGAAACCACACACAAGGAGGTGAAATTTGCCACCTGCTCGTTAATGCACCCCTGGTAATTCCGTAAATGTGGGATTGAAATACCTCTAGGGCCTGTTTAGTTTACAGGATTTGGTGGGATTTGGAATTGGATTACATTCCAACCCCGCCTTTGGTTTAAAGGAAATCCCAGAATTGAAATCCCAAAAACATTGGATTTAGAAATCCATGAGGGTAGTTGGTATTTCACAGGATTTCCTAGGTTTCTTTGTAATAATCTTTTAAAATATGTTAAAAACATTCGTTTTATAATAATTGATAAATAAAAGGTAGTTTAAGTATTTTTAATTATTTATAATTTGTTTATAAAGATTGGAATTCAATTATGTTTCCAATCCTTCCATGAAATTTGAATCCCTCAAACATTATGTCACCCCCCCCCCCCCCTTTGTATTGTTGCCCTTTAAGCCTTCTCTTGTTGAACTACTTCATATATCTATACTGTCTTATAAAACATTTACGTTAAACTCTTAAATTTTAAGAATACGACATCTATGACATATCAAGTACAAATCACTAATAGGTTAAGAGAATGGAAGGTGTATGGGTCCCCATATCACCATTGATCTCTTTTCCAAAAAGAAAAGGAAAAAACCAAAGCAATTTACTTCATCCCAAAATAAGTATCCACATTTTCTATTTCAGTTTTTGTCTCAAAATAAATTTCCACTTCCAAAAGCAAGTCAACTTTCCACTTCTACCCTTAATTATGAGATGGAGAAGTTAATTACTCCCTCTGGGTACAATTGTAATTTAGTTAATTATAAAAAAGTGTAATAATTGCACATATCTAAAACCATGGGCCTTTTTCATGATGAACATTTATTTTGGGACAAAGGGAGCAACATATTTAGCCATTTATATATAGATGCGTGTGATCAAAGATGATTGTAGTTTCTGTTTACGTCAAATTTCGGGTTTTTTAATTGGTTTTTCATTCTCTTGGTTTACAATAAAATTTTACCTCCTGCTGCATAGCACGGGTACACTAGTGTTCTCTACATGTATTACTTTAATGGATTTGTTCCCGTCTCCTTATGCATTCTTTTTTTTAGTAATATGATTGCTTTTTTGTCTTCCAGGAAGGTGTTCAACAACTTGTATTAGGTCTCTACATCATAAGGGGTGATAACATGTATGTTGCTTTTCAAAATCGTAAGGGGTAGTTTTGTCCATTTCTAGTTTTGGCCGAAAATGTAATGACTTGTTGTGATGTTGGTGGTATGCAGAAGTGTTATTGGGGAATTAGATGAAGAGCTTGATGCAGGGTTGGATTTGTCAGAACTGAGAGCTCATCCTCTGAAGCCTGTTATTCACTAATGAATCTTACATGGTATGCATAGTTAAGCTTGAATATTTTGCAAGGAAATTAGAATTTGGTTTCTGAAAGAAAAAGATGCATGAAAACAGAAGTGCTTATTGTTGTTCATTAGCTTATGTGGTTCTTAGGGTGAGATCTTTTATCGACTGATGTTTGGCTGCATCTTATGAAAATTTTGGGGTTCATGTTGAGATCAAAGTTTGCACTCTTGCATATATTGATGTGATCTGAAGCCTATATATATATGTATGGGTCAGGTTCTGGGAAAAACTGCAAAAAAACAAAAAACTGAGGAACACTCTGGTAACCGTTCATCTGGACGGCATGCACATGTGCATACAAGTAATTTGCCTGCAATTTGTCCGGTATGCATGTGCATAACATGAACACATGCAAAAAAACCCAAAAAAACAGCTTCAATTACTTGTATCATGTGCATACTGTCGAGATAGGCAAATGGTCTCCAGGGTGTTGTGTAGTTTTTCATTTTTTTGGGGGGTTTTCTTTTGAACGTCCCCCCCTCTCTCTATATAAACTGTTTGCATGTATAAACCGTGAAATACCAGTTTGCATGTGTTGTTTCAGAAAAGAAACATCAATGAATGTCTAGCTTGTGAAAAGAACACAAAAATACGTTTATATATGAAACAAACACGTACTTGCACACAAAACAAAACATGTAAAACAATATGAATTATAGCTTAAAATCAAACTCATTGGATGGTTTTGTTTAAATTGTCACGGGTTTGGTTTTTTGCATGTGTTGTCTCATCTATGAAACAATATTGTTAAACTGGTTTTCACGATTTGTAACATTTAGGAGGTTTCTACTTGATGTTGGGTCTCTCTCTTTCTCTCTCTCTCTATATGTGTGTGTGTATATATATATATATATATATATATATATATATATATATATATATATATATCATCGATCAATAAGGTTAATTCGGAGAATCTAAAGTTTCTCTGAATCCCATTGTAAAAACGTTTGATATATAAAATTTATGTTATGGTAGGTTAAAAACTTCCGAACACCGTGGTTAAAAGAATTTTATTCTAGATCGAGTCATGTGTCCAGGGTATCCTAGTGGTCGAAAATGATATTTTCAGAGGTTGGCAACCGGTTGAGCGTCCATTGCTTAATTTTTATTTGGATGATTATTTAGTCATGTTTGACCATAGTTGTTAAAAGCGCGCTTGAGGCTCACCTAGGGTTTGAGGCTCACAAGGCTCAAGGTCTTGGGCTCTTTTCAAGTCGAGGCTCATTATGGCACTGCGCCTTGGCTGAGGCGCCTTGTGGGCCTAAGTGCGCCTCATAAAAGGCGCCTTATAAAGAGTTACTAGATATCTAGTTAAACTCTAAGATTAAATAAGTTTTCTCTTCTCCTAGATTTTTTTATAGAAGTGTTATTAATAGATGACATAAGTCAAACCCTAATATTAAATACCAAGTCCTTAGAACTTCAAGCCTCCTCTATAAATATCAGACCTTAAAATTTCTCCTTCACGGCGCACGCTTTAAACCCTTCTGCCTCTATCAAAGTAAACTTAAGACCACCATAAAGGCTTGTGGCTTGAGGACAAGTTCATTTGAATTGGTTCGTCCGTAACAACTTGTGTTATACCCGTCCGTTGGTCGGGTACACGACATGACGTTTAAACAGATTCTAAACGTCCTCGAAACATACCTCAAACAAAGCGACGGTTTATCAACCTGAACAAATTGATAATATGAGAAATGTAAGCATAAATTTATGTGACAAAGGTTTTATCCTAACTCGATTGGCACCCCAATTAATACTCCTACAATCTCACAATGTTCCTATCGAATCTCTCTAGATGGAGATGAAAGGATTGATCAAAATTAGTTTCTAAACATCCTCGAAACAGATCTCAAACAGTCTTGAAAAAGTGAAAATGCTCCGAAACAGGCCCCAATCAGCCCCTATGGACCTGCACTTGATGGCAACACTATATAGCTATGTTGTTTTGGGGACAAATACTTGATAAACAACCCCCCATAGCTGCTGTTTTTTAGACTGGTAACACTCTTTAAGAAAGATCCTCACACAAATCCTATTGAATTTCAATTAAAACTGGGACCATGAATCCTTAGTGCTACCCAGTGATAAAAGCATCCACAAGCAGAACGCCAATGTTATAATTGAAGATCGAGATATAATCATACAGTGATTAAAACCCATATCATATCCTTAAGGACCTTAACACACAAAAAGAATGCTGAAAGTTAACTAAAATGTTACCTTTTATCAACAAAACCTCTCAAAGGTTGATAAAGACCAACAACAGTAGTAGACTTACCTTCTCCAAGAGGAGTGGGAGTGATTCCTCCAACAACAAAATAGTACCCATGTTGTTCTTCTTTAAGTTCATCGATCACATAAAACAAAACCTATACTTTCACATTTCCAAATCATCAAAAGCAAAAAAAAAAAAAAACCTAAATCTTTTTATGCACCAAAATCATCAGAGAAAACAAAATAAAAAGAAAACTTACACATACCCAATGTTTAAATCATTCATAACATCAGTTTAGAAAAGAGACACACTTTGACTTTTGATGTGAAATGAGACCTAATAGTTTCCAATTATCAAAGTTAATATGATACCATTTACATGACTTCATTTGACTTTTCCTTGGAGAAATTTCTCCAAACTTATTTGATGTAAAACGGAAGGCAGATTGTCATCTAAATCAACTGGTAGCTTTGTAAATTGAAGGGGTATTATCTTTCTGTAAGTTCATCAAATAAAAAAGGGAAAAATAAAGAATGTTGAACCTTGCTAACAAAACATTCAAAAAACTGTATCTGAAAAATCCACTAAAATGTCATTAGAACATGAAAGAATCAAATATTGCCAATTAAATATTGCAAGAACTGAAAGTGGCCATCAAAAATATAATATCAAGTCCAAACAACCAAAATTAACCTCATTCTTCCATCAGCCTTGCTATTAACAATTTCATCATGTGGTGGTAATCGAAGAGAGTGATCAGGCACAACCAACACCATCGCAACTTCATGATTTGATCAACATCGAAATCTTTGATCAAAATCCACCTACACAAATCATCTACCTTACAACAAGTCGACAACATTGTACATTCTAACCAAATTTTAAGCGATCAAACTTCAAATAACTTAAAATACAACCAAAAGAACAAATTTTTAACTTAAGTTTGTCTTAAAATAAGTGTCTACATTCGAATAACGTCTATCTATTATGATAGAAAGCATATCGTTTTCAAGCTGATTCAACTGATTCCCATTCATTATACCTGCTTAACGTGCTTTATTCTTCAAAATTGGGATAGGTGCAGTTGGCTGTTTGGCTTGTGAATACAACATGATCTACCTCATCAACTCCATCAAAGAATAAGATCTTGGTCTTTCCCCCATGGTTTGTATAGAAAATTGCTTCAGCATTTGAAATTCAATCTATAGTACATCAATCTAGGAATTCTCAATAGCGCTCTATGGTTCGCTTCTTTGGCAGGTTTATTGATAGAGATTAATCGTTTTTTCCCGGATGCGTTGACGTTCCCCTTTTTTTCATTCTAGTTATTGACCTGGGAAGGAATAAAGAAGATTAGAGATACAATTAAATACCAGCCCCCCTYTTTTCTCTTTTTTCCCTTTTTTAGAATAAGGGAGGAAAGAGAAAGAATAAAARTGCATTCAACAGCTGCGAGATTCGGGTTCAGGTTGGAATTAAATTAATATGAAATTTCTATGTATTAAATTTCTATGAAAGTTGAATGCATACAAAATGTGTCCATCTCAAAAAGTAGTTGTCAATCAATCTCGAGATTCCTCAAAAAAATATCTTTACAAATCTGACCTCATGACCTACATTCTAAATAGATATTCTAAACTATAAATATAACTAGATCATCATTAGTCATTAGCTTATATATACAAATACCAATCCTGAAGATACAAACACGTGCATCAACTTGTGTACTTTGTTAGGTGCCATTTACCAAACGCTTACCCGGGTAAGCGCTTATCAAGTCACTTTACTTTACCGGATGAATATGACAAAGACAAAAAATCTTACCCGGTAAGAGTGAAGACAAGAATCGAGAGTCTTGCCCGGTAAGTGAGGGCGAAGACTGTTACCATGGTTAATGCTTACCGGGATAAATTGTTGCATACGATGCGTTTTAATAAATAAAACCTTACCTGGTAAATAAGCGATATTGTTGAATTTCACCGGTAAGTGCTTACCGGGTAAGTGTTTAGGTAAACGGGCCCTTAGCTCATAATCCACATAAAATACCTAGAGGAAACCCCAATGCAGACTGTAAATTCTAAGACTTCAAAATAAAATAATGTCTAATTCTCCAACTAAACACATGGATTACTTCTTTATCCACTCGAGCAAAAAAATTGTCTTTGACCCAAATTTCTGTTAACGAAAAAACATTGTCTTTGGTAACGTTAGGGCCAACTGTACCTGGACAAAACTTGAATCATCTTGACCCAAATGTTTCTGGATTATCTTGCCAACAACCATGCGATATAGGCCTTATCTATCTACACCTTTTTTCCAAAATTCCCTTTACCTTGATGTTATTTATCCGTGCAAAACTTTCTATTAGTATGATCAGAAAAATTGTAAAACTCTAGATGTTATTACAGATCAGTAAATAATTGCTCTAAACCTCTATCTTCTTTTTTCAAGTCGTCTTCATCAAACCATAAGATTCCATTCTTTATCCATTTGAGCAAAAATTTCGTTAATACCTAGAGGAACTCTAATGCAGACTGCAAATTCTAGGGCTTCATCGCACATTCTAACTAAATTTAAGTGAAGACCTTAAAGACACATGAAATCTACGGTGATCATACAAAAAATAACTTAAAAATTTCTTCCTGTTTAGAGGCCACCTGTCAAATTAATAAAAAGCATTGATAATCCTCCCCTAAATCTACCTAAAAGTGGAGAAGACAAACACGTTGGTAACGCAAATATGTGAATTTGAGCTCTACAACAATTACTGTGGTGGATTTTTGGGTTCTATAACAATTATTGTGGTGGATTTTTGGGTTCTACAACAATTTCAGAAATTGTAAGAAGTATTCTACCTTATTTGGTACCGCCGTACCAGTGAACAAAATTAACAAAATTGAGAGATGAAGTTGTAGACTTGAAATTACGT